AAAGAGCTTATTACATGGAATCTTAACGTGTTCTGTCTTTTATTCAAATATATATATATATATATATATATATATATATATATATATATATATATATATATTGCTACTAACCCGTATTCCTGGAACTACTAACCTGCTTTACCAGTTTGTGTTATTACATTAATACATTATTTTCATATATTTATTCCTGGCGTTTGTTATTTATTGGTACCGGATTTCATCCCGGAATCCACAACAACCATATACCTCTGTATTTATTTAGTATTTATTCGAGATGTGGGGCGTTCTGAGCCCGGTCTGGTTACACTCTACCTCCCCAGACGAATTTCTGCCTTTCACCATTGCCTCGTCTTGGTTTCACTCCGTCCGGAGAAAAACCTTCGCCGTCACTTCGATATTTAATTTACTAATTTTCTTTCTGTTTATTTGTGCGCTCGCTAAAGTTTTCTCGTTCTCTTCCATTCCAAGTAACCACCCTCACTTGCGTCTTCGTGGCATTATCGCCTTACTTGGGATGAAATGACTAAAAAGGAACTATCTCTAATATATTAAATTATTTCTCTTGTTTTAAAACCAGGTGTTTCTACATAAAACAATGACGTCACCACTTTAAATCGTACATGCTCTTTTAACCATTGTTGAGGGATTCCCGCCTTTTTACACAAATGGACTCACCCAGTATATACATATATTACGTCTACGTAAAGACCCTAGACAGAGCAAGACCGAAGAGTCGAGTCGAGTCGAGAGTGACAGAGTAAAAGGTTGTAGGCAACCGGAAGAGTGAGGGGTGAGGTAACAGCGTTGTAGGAGTCACAGTGAGCGAGCACGTAGACTCAGTAAGAAGTCATACAGCGATAATTCAATACCAAAGACTATATATATATATATATATATATATATATATATATATATATTGCTACTAACCCGTATTCCTGGAACTACTAACCTGCTTTACCAGTTTGTATTATTACGTTAATACATTATATTCATATATTCATTCCTGGCCGTTCTTATTTATTGGTACCGGATTTCAACCCGGAATCCACAACAGTATCTAATCTGCTAAACATGTGCGTTATGTTTTTTTTTTATCTGCTGGAGAGCAAATGCTCTAAAATCTTTAAAAGAACTTTTTTTTTTTAATTAAACATTTCATAATATCGTTTATCTGAAGAAATTTGCTTTAGATGTATTTAGTGCACACTATTATTATTATTATTATTATTATTATTATTATTATTATTATTATTATTTACTTTGATTTCTGTTGTTTACACATTCCCTTCCGGGGCCCAACAAGTGACCAAAGGCCAAAAATGGCTTCAGGACATTTTCGATCGATCATTTTTTTAAAAGTATACCTAAGACCACACACATTTTATTTAGATAAAGCTCTTCATTAACTTTGATTGTTCTGCAAAATCCCATAATGCCTCTGTGTGATTAATAGCTAATATTATATTCATAATGGGCTTTTCTTTACATAATGTAGAAAAATCATCATATTAGTCCTCCGTTTCTTTCATCATTATTATTATTATTTCCTTTGATTTCTGGCGTTTACACATTCCTTTCCGGGTCCCGCCCAGGGGCCTAAGGTTAGAAATCGTATCATGACACTTTCCTATGAAAATATATATATATATATATATATATATATATATAGATAAAGCCCTTCATAAAGTGTGGGCTGTACTTGTCATTCAGAACAATGTTTTGTATCTCTTTGAGGCATGTACATCCAGGAATCCCTTCAATTAGTCTCCTGCAATCTTTTCCGACCAATCCTAGGGCTCCAACTACAACAGGGATTATTGATGTTCCCATATGCCACATTTTTGAGATTTCTATTTCAAGGTCCTTGTATATTGACAGCTTTTTGAATATCTTCAAAGATACATTGCAGTCAGCAGGGGCTGCCATATCAACAAGGAGGTACCATTTTTGTTTGTGGTCTTTAATAACAATATCTGGGCGGATGGCTTTGATTGTTCTGTCAGTGTGTATTGTGTAGTTCCATAGAATTGTAACAGGTCCTATCTCCGTAACCGGGTGTGGGTGGTGTTCATTCCATTTTCTTTCAGTTTCCTTCCCGCAGAAGTTGTAAATTTTCCATTGCAGATATTGGCCCACTCTGTCATGACGGGTTTTATATTCAGTTGGTGCCAATGTCGTGCAACCTGATATAAGATGACCAAACGTTTCTGGAGATTTATCACAGAACCTGCATTTTGGGCTAACACAATATTTTAGTATATGTGTTTGATAATTCCTAGTTAACAGGCATTGGTCCTGTGCAGCAATGATAAAACCTTCAGTTTCAGCTTTCAACCCTGCACTACGTAGCCACTGATGGGTACGGGTTTTGTCTACGTCAGCTTGTTTGGTACGGGCAGAACATTGGCCATGAAGCGGTTTATCTTGCCATCGCTTCTGTAACTGGTCGGTTGCATTCGTCTTTGCTGTCTTTTTTAAGTATTTTGCAGTTTCAGCCGGTGTATTTTGCTGTATTGCATCTCTCCGCCCATTTAAAACTCCATTTTGAATTTGTTGGCTTCTTTCATTACGGAGTAAAGACGATTACTACTCTCATGTTCCTTGACGCATACCATCATCCAGTCTTCTGTAGTTTCCAAGTATCTTTAGAGGCCAATTGTTGTAGTTTTGTAGGACAATTCTAGTTGAACTAATCCTCTTCCTCCTTCGTATCTGGGCACATACAGACGATCAACATCAGCTTTGGGATGATGCATGCGATAGTAAGTGAGAAGCTTTCTCGTTTTGGCGTCCATTCGCTTAATTTCAGCTATGGTCCAGTTAAGGACATTAAAACTGTATTACACCACAGGGACAGCCAATGTGTTTATGGCTGATATTCTGTTTTTTGAGTTTAGTTCGGTATTTAGTACCGACGTACACGCCTGTAGTAATCCTTTCTTACTTCATTTGAGGGTGCTGTATGTCATCTCCTTTGCTAATTCCTATGTACTTATAAGCTTCATGCTCCAGTTTCCTAATCTTTGTGACAAAATCTAAATCTATTAAGGGTGTTTCTGTATTCTACCTTTCTTGAATGTTACTTTTGCACATATTATTTTTGTATGTTATATTTCCTGCTTTGTATCCTACAGAGATGTGTCTAAACTATGGTCTTTATGCGTTATAAGAAAATTTTTGTTTAATTTATAAAACTATTCTTAGTATATGAGATGTCCTTAGTAAGGGGATCTTCTGGGCAACTTTTATGTTGATTTTACCTGGAACACTGTTAGTAAAATTGTCCATTCCTTTTCTCACGAGTCCCAGAGCTCCGATTACTATTGGTACAGTCTCAGTCTTTATTCTCCACATCCTATTCATCTCAATCTCCAGGTGCTTGTATTTGAACAATTCCTCGATAATTTTTATGGTGGTGTTTCTCTCAAATGATACTGTTATGTCAATAAGCATACACTTCCTGAATTTCTTGTTTTTTTATGATAATATCAGGTCGGTTGGCTTTTATTTTCCAGTTAGTTTGAATTGTCATATCCCAGAGGATAGTGACACCATAATTTTGGAGGTTTGTGTTAGTTGGTGCCATACCATCTCTCAGTGGATTCGATGAGATTCTTGCACATCTCCTAGTGACCATAGGTTGCTACCTTGTTATATCTGTGGGTATATTCACTGTTTGCGAGTTCCGGACATCCTGAGATGATATAGTCGACAGTTTCATGATATTTTCCGCAGATCCTGCATTTCGGGTTAGTTCCATCCTTGATTATGTGACAGTGATAGGATCTGGTTGCAAGGTTTTGGCCCTGAGCTGCAAAAATTATACCTCCTTTCTCAGCTTTCAACCCGGTGTTCCGAAGCCAGTGATGTTGTTTTTTTCTGTTGGTTCACATCTGCATCTTTCGTTCTTTTTAACGTATTTGCTATGCAACGCCTTGTCCTCCCATCTTTTTTTTTCTTTAGCCAAGTTGTTATGTTTTCTATTTTACTCGTCTGGCTTAGATGGTATTCGCTTCGTTTTTTTCTTGATAGGATTTAAGATATATTAAACTGTTTTCATGGAGGTATTTCTCTCAGATGGTACTGCAATGTCAATAAGCATACACTTCCTGAATTCCTTGTCTTTTATTATAATATCAGGTCTTTTGGCTTTTGTTTCCCTGTCAATTTGAACTGACATGTCCCAGAGGATAGTTACATCATAATTTTGAATATATGCGTCTGGTTATTGCTCATACCATCTCGCAATAGTTTTGATTTTGTGCTTCTTAAATATCTCCTAGTGCCCATAAATTCCTACCTTGTTATATCTATGAGTATGTTCATGTTTTGCTAGTTCCGAATATCCCGAGATAAGATGATCGATAGTTTCATCATATTTTCTGCAAATCCTACATTTCGGGTTGCTTCCATCTTTGATTATGTGACAGTGATAGAATCTGGTTGCGAGGCATTGACCCTGGACTGAAATAATTAGACCTTCTGTCTCAGCTTTAAACAGGGTGCACCTCAGCTACTGATGTGTTTTCAGTTGGTCTACATCTGCTTCTTTCATTCTTTTTATGTAATTTTGTCATGCAATGCCTTGTCCTCACATTTCTTTTATTTTATTTGGCCAAGTTTATTTGCTTTCTGTTTTACTCGTTTACTGTACTGTACTGATGCGGCATTCACCCTGGGCGGATTGAGCCGGCTTCTTCCTGTTATGAGAAGAAGATTCTTGGGATAAATTACAGAAGTAGGGTACCCAGGCCTACTCGGATAACGTTCTTGCTTGCCGCTGGGTTCCCACAGACGCAGAGACAGGAACGACCAGAAGCCGCCGGTTGCCGATGCAGACGCTCCTTGGATTTTCACAGAGCCCTTGTTAGCCGGCGTGTGTGTCAGACCTGTCCGCCTTGGGTGGCCCTACCAGGAACAAAGTTTCGGGCGGCATAGCTCTGACACTACCGTTTACACCCCCCCCACCGACTGTGAGGTAAGGGTTGGACTTTGGGGGGTTTACAGTACCAGGTGTTCCCAAGCGCACCCCCATCTAAGTACTGACCTGGCTCTACGATGCTTAACTTCGGTGATCGAACGAGAACCGGTGTTTTCAGCGTGATTTGACCGTAAGCTTTTACTCGTTTGACGTTGATGGTATTCGCTTTGTTTTTGGTGGTGGGATTTCAGGCATATTAAGCTGTTTCTTGAATAGTGTCGCTTCTTTGATGATGGAGTGATTTGGTCTTTTACCATTTGTGGTAGAGGATCAATAATTTTTGTGAATGATACTGCCAATCTAATTGTTGTCATTTTTAGAGTTAGTTCAAGATGGATTAGACCTCAGCCTCCCGCTGGTTTCCAGTGGGGCATCCTCATTTGGGTAAGCATTTTTCTGGTCTTGGCATCCAACCTTTTAATTTCATTCAGCTTCCATTTAATAATGGTGAAGCTTTATTTTACTACGGGTAGAGCTAAGGTGTCGACAACCTTCATTTTTTTGGCCCCATTAAGTTCGCTTTCTAGTATAAAACGCCCTTTTCTATGATACTCTATTCGGATCTTTTGTTTCATAATTGAGTATTGTATTCTGTCTCCTTTATTAATTCATAAGTATTTCTATGTATCAACTTGGTATAATTACTTAATCTTGTTGTTGACAATAAGGTCTAAACAAGTAGTGACTTCTTCTTCTTCTTCTTCTTCTTCTTCTTCTTTCTTTTCTTTTCATTGTTTTCTCCTTCTTTGCTTCTTCTCCCTTTTTTTTTCATTTTTCTTCATTCATTTTTTTCTTCTTCTTCCTCTTCTTATTTGTCGTTTTCTTTTCATTTTCCTCCTTATTCTCTGTTTTCTTCTTCTTCTCCTTCTTCTCCTCCTCCTCCTTCTTCTTCTCCTTCTTCTTCTTCTTTTTTTTTCATTCTTTTCTACTTTTGTTGCTTCTACTCCATTTTTTTTTCATTTTTTTCTTCTTCTCTTTTGTTTTCATTATCTTGTCCGTCGTCTTTATCTTCTTTTTCTTTTCATTCTTCTTCCTTTTTATTTTCGTTCTTCTTCATTTCCTTATCCCTTTTACTTTCATTTTTCTTCTTGTCATTCTTTTTCTTTCTGTTCTTCTTCTTCATCCTCTCCGTTTTCTTTTCATTCTTCTTCTTTCTCTTCTTTTTTCTTTTCATTCTTCTTTTTTTTCGTCCTCTTCTTTTTTTTCTTTTTCATCCTTCTCCTTCTTCGTCTTCTTCTCTGTTTTCTTTTCATTCTTCTTCTTTCTTCTTTTTTTCTTTTCATTCTTCTTTTTCTTCTTCCTCTTCTTTTTTTTCTTTTTCATCCTTCTCCTTCTTCGTCTTCTTCTCTGTTTTCTTTTCATTCTTCTTCTTTCTCTTCTTTTTTCTTTTCATTCTTCTTTTTCTTCTTCCTCTTCTTTTTTTTCCTTTTCATCCTTCTTCTTCTTCGTCTTCTTCTCTGTTTTCTTTTCATTCTTCTTCTTTCTCTTCTTTTTTCTTTTCATTCTTCTTTTTCTTCTTCCTCTTCTTTTTTTTTCCTTTTCATCCTTCTTCTTCTTCGTCTTCTTTCTTTCTCTTTTTCTTTTCATTCTTCTTCTTTCTCTTCTTTTTTTTTTCATTCTTCTTTTTCTTCGTCCTCTTCTTTTTTTTTCCTTTTCATCCTTCTTCTTCTTCGTCTTCTTCTCTGTTTTCTTTTCATTCTTCTAATTCTTGTTTGTTGTTCTTCTTTCATAAATTAACTAGAGAGTAGTACCCGAGCAAAGTGATACCACAATTCAAATAAACCTCGTCCACCTTGACATCTCGTCAGATCAGGGTATACCCAAATCAAGCATCACAGCCAAAATGGGCGAGATATGCTGACAGATTATGATAGGAAAAAAATTGCATCCTACGACCTTGCATGTGGAACCGAGTTAAAAAATGCCTTCAAGTTGCGTAACCCAGACCGCCCAGACGGTCTATGCTAGAGGCTGTTCCCATGCATGTTGGTGTGTAACAAATCCCCTTGGCAACATCATCATTTAAACTTAAAAGAAAATAAAAACTATCTCTATTCTCGGCTAAGATGCTCGCCGAATACTCACGTTCATGAGCAGAGAATCTTTGCCTTTGCCACTAGGGTAGATGGAAAAAAACGTTGTGTTCAAACAATTGACAAGCCTATCTGCTGTAATGGAAGCGTATTTACTGTAGCCTATTTTAATATGTTAAGATAAAACATTTTAAGACCTTTAATCAATTCAGAATGAGATCGGTAGATATAGATAGATAGATAGATAGATAGATAGATAGATAAAGAAAGAAAGAAAGGAGAGACGAAAGAATCATGGTAAGATAGATAGATAGATAGATAGATAGATAGATAGATAGATAGATAGATTAAAAAAGAAAGAAAGTAAAACTGATAGATATGAAGAAATTGAGATAGATAGATAGAGGAAAAACGAAAGAATCATGGAAAAAGGCAAAACATGGAAATAAAGAAGGAAACAGAGATAGATAGAAAGACAAAGAAAGAAATACTGAGAGATAGATAGATAGATAGATAGATAGATAGATAAATTAAAAAGAATGAAAAGAACAACGAAAGAAACAAATAAAGATAGATACATATATACATATAAAACTGAGAAATAAAGAATGAAAGAAGAAAAGAATGTAAGAAAGAGAAACTCGGGTAGATAGATAGATAGATAGATAGATAAAAAAATGAAAGAAAAAAGAAAAAGAAAGAAACTGGTTGCGTCAGTCGTGCTATCCTGTCTTGTGACGACCAACATGACTTGGTATTGGTCGCGGCACCAAATGTGACGTTCTAACCTTTTGGTGATTCGGATGGGAATCTGGTTAGATTCGGTATCAGCCTCGTCGTTCCCAGCTCGCCTCCAACGTCTGGTTACCGAAGTAACTGCTTTGATTTTTAGTCTAACCTACCCACGTTGTGAATTGATCTTAGGCAGACGAAATCAATCAGTCACCGGGCCGTAATGCAAGCTGAGTTCGAATAAGGGTGATAACGCACAAGTATGTGTAAAAGAAAATAAAATAATAACTCGAAAAGTTCAAATGTGTTTAAAAAAATATAACAATACTTTATATCTGGTTGCTGAGTACAGGACTGAATCTTCTTTCCCAACCCGCTATATGGATTCGTGACATTATGTGTTTGTTAGGCGAGTCTTAACATCTTAAGTTGTTTGTTCTTTAAAGAAACTGGTTCTTAATGTGTCTTCAGGCGAAATTCGTAAAACTTGTTTTGGTGGTGTGAGTCTAAATCGTTCTTCAAAAATAAATTGGTCTTGATTAGAAGATGAGTTCGGAATTGCGTGAATCTTAGTCAGCTTCTGCGAGGCAAGACAAGCTCAATCCTCTCAACTGGGACTCAACTGGATCTCGAACTGGATCACAACTGAACTCGAACTGAAACCTGATTTTCGCTCGCTGCGACTTTGCTTATATGGACGCCGACCAAAACCGGGGTGGGCTTGTCGGGGTTTGAGTTTCTTTGACAATTCCAAAACCACAATCCAGTTCTTTGTTTTCGGTCAGGAAAATTTTATTATTTTCCATTTTTGGAAGTCTTTTCCTCCTCACACCTTCTGTTCTCGTATTGGTATCTCAAAATACCCCCAGAGGGTGTCAGCGGTTTTCCCCCGCTCTCCCAGTGGCATCTTACAGCTATCCCCTCAATGGGTGCCAGCAGGCTTCCCCTCCTGCTTCACATGATTACCTCCGCCCAATACTCCTGCTATCATTCAGCCAATGGGCGCTCAGCTGCGTGGGTGTGGCCGGACTAGCCTCGGTTTAAAAAAATCTTGGTCAAAGAAAAAAATTTAATCTTTTTTTTTTCTTACTTTTCCTTTTCTTTCTTCTGTTCGAAGAGACATAACACCCTAGACATTTTATCTATTCCCGATAAAATAATTTCGCCACCACAGCCAGTTTTACACACAAAACAGATGCCTTTTTCAAACAACCTTCCCTTAGATAACTAATGCTTTGGTCTTATGTTTTTGTAACTTTGTGTGGTCCAAATGGACATTTTCGTTTTTTGGCGACCCAGTTAATTTTTATCTATTTAGAATTCAGTCTCTGAAGTTATTTGACCAACCTGGGATTTCCACCCGCGCCGTAACAGAAATCAGATTAATTCCAGTATCTTCCTTTCTCGAAAATAAAAATTTTACCACTTTTCCTTGTCAGAAAAATAACACCGCTTAGTGTCCTTTTCGTGATGGCTTCTTATCACCTAATTTTAATTCTCGACTTTCTTTTTTTTCCTTTCTTTTTTCTTTTCTCATTTCTCCCTTTTAGCAAGCCAAATAGTGTCACAATCCTCCCCTAACCTATTTGTCTTTTACTCGTAAATGACACCTAAACCCAAATACACTATTTAGCATGCATCATGCATCGTGTATCTGTCCCATGCATTTCTATTCTCCTTTTCTTTTCTTTTTTTACGGTTTTACATGCAAGGTTATATTCTTTTCACCTTCTTCTGTTCTACATGCAAATGTAATGTTCTTTTCATCTTCTTCTGTTCTACATGCAATGTAATGTTCTTTTTCATCTTCTTCTGTTCTACATGCAAATGTAATGTTCTTTTCATCTTCTTCTGTTTCTCATGCAATTTAAAGTGTGCGTGTGCCAGTGGGTGCATGTGTGTGTTTATTATGGCTTTTTCTTTTGGTCAATGTTTTTCTCTCTGCTGTAGGATGGTTTTCCACCGCACGTGTCGGTTTCACGTCAGCCTCCTCCGCCGGTCTTTTTGCAATTTCTTCGCCGATTCTGTATGAGTAAGGAACACTGCTCGCCATCTCCCTCTCGAGTTGCTGCATGCTCATTTGATTATCGCTAGTTAATTTCTTCTTACTCCTAATCTTCCATATTGCCATACCCCCTATGGCTATAATTATGAATGTACCCATCATTGCCGACCAACTTATCACGATCTGCTCATCATCTTCCCAAGCCATACCTTCATTTCCCAACGCACTTAACTTGTCCCTCAATTGATCCATATCGGTCTTTTCTATCGGCTTCATTAGTACTGGCATTTTATTCAAGGTAACGTTGGAGAAACCCTTCACTATTGGCTTCCACAACTCTGTACAATTGACTAAGCTTCTGCCAAGCATTTCTATGATTAAATCTTTCTCTTCATATCTTTCTTCTTCCTGGTAATAGGGGGGTAAGGAAATAGATATCCCAAATGCCGAACATCCCATGGGTAACTTTAACAGGGATAATAGTAGCCTTACTCTTAATGTCCTTTGGACTCTCCCCCACATACCCTAGACAAGCTAATGGGTTTCTGCGTGGCCACTGCCCACAACCCGTCTGAAACACTGATAGCTTGTGGTAATGCCGTGTTTGCTAATACCTCTACTTGACAAGTTCTCTTAATTCCCTCTTTCTTCCCTTGAAACAATTCTAGTAGGCACATTTTGTGGTTACCAGCTATATAGATAGGGCTTAACAATGTAAAAGTCCCTAGAGCATCATTTCTACACTTTCTAGCTTTTTCAGCTATTAGCAACATGAATTTTGTTCTACCCGAATTTAAAGCTATGTATTCTGTTTCCATCTTGTACCTTGCTACCATTCGTGTGGCTACCATCATCAACCCTTTCATTTTGATCATTCCTCCAAGGCAACAAGATTCTCTTGTTTTTATTAATCATAACCATTCGGGCTTGTTCAATTCTCCATTCAATTATTCCATAATTTCTTTCTAAGTTTGTAACACTTCAGCTCTTCCCTCCGCTAACTAACTCCTAGCAGACAGAATGGTCCGGACAGGTGTGCGTGGCGCTCACTCCAAAGGTCGTACTCCATGACAACACTGATGGTCAGTTAGCAATGCCAATAATCTTCTTCCGTCCTTCGTGAGGTGCAACTCGCGATTCCATCCACATCCACCACAGTCAGCCAGTAGGTTTTTGGATGAGCCAGTGTCGCTATCTGTCGGCACCGAGTGCTTCTATTCTGCACAGCCTTCCTTGTTCTACTGAGACTTGATGTTCTTCACCTTCTCAATCCATCTTCAGAGGTAGTTCCTGCTCGACCTCTAACCTTCCTTCGGTGTTTAATTCCCGTTCAGGGGTGTTTTGTCCCTTCTCCCTCTCCTGATTTTTCCTTCTGTTTCCGGAGTCCTCGCCCTGGACGTCTTCATTACTTCTTGACTCGATGTCTAAATCTCTCCTGTTTTTTAGCCTTTCTTTGAGCTTGGAAAGGGGTATTTGATCCTATTCCTCCCACTCGTTGAATTCTTTGTCTTGTTTAGGGTGCACCTTTTTAGAGCCCTTGACTGATGATTGGATCTCTTCGTTTTCTCTTTCTTTTTCTTTGGACATGGGGGTGCGATGGTGACATCAGGGTCTTCTCTGCACCGATTCAGACAACGGCTGAACACCGCTGATCCCCGGCGAGGGTTCCAACTCCGTCCTCGGATCCTTCGTCTATCTGGCCAGTCGATCTATCTCTTCATTTTCTTCGGAATCCTCTTCCGTCTCCATTTCTTCCGGTTCAACCAGAGTTACCTTCCTTGTCCTTGTCTTCTGGGCCTCGGTTCGCTCATTTCCAGGTTAGCTATTTCAGCCTTCTTCAGATCGTTGGCATGGACCCTCCTTGCTCGTCCTGCCACTTGATCCCATATTACATATGATACTGGACCCGTCTGCTCTACTATCCGGTAGTACGGTTCCCATCTTTGGTTCAGCTTCCCTTCTCTCTGGTGGATTTTATAGTAGACAGGGTCTCCAACCTTCAATTCTACTACCTTTCTTTCAGCATCCACTCTCATTTCTTCTCTTCCGTGCCCTCTTTATTCTTCTTCTGGCCTGTACAAATATTTTTTATGTTGTTGTTCCAGCAACAGCTGATGATGATCTTCTCCCATATACTTCTTGGGGGTTTCAACAGGTTATCCACAGGCAGGACCACGTCTCTGCCAAACAACATAAAAGGGAGAAAATCTGGATGTTTCGTTTATCGTAAACCTCACGGCTGCCAGAGCCTGCGTCAAATACAAGTCCCATTTCTCAGTGCCCTTCCCTTCTACAACACATCTCCCAAGGTTCTATGAAAACGTTTCCTTGGAGGTGATATGGAGATGTTTTTACGTGCTCTATATTCAAACATGTCAGCACCGTTCATTATGTTGTTTATATTCTCTGTGCCATTATCGTGATCTTCTGCACAGGGGCGTCCCAAGGGAAGATTTCACTTATTATCAAATCGGCTACAGTTTTAGCCTTCCTGTCTGGTACTGCAAATGCCTCAGGCCAATTTGTTATCCAATCGACAAAACTCACTATATAGTTGTTTACAGCAGTTACCCCATATGGTCCTGATCATCCATACTCACTTTTTCGAAGGTGAAGTTCCGTCCATCCCTCAATGGTGCCATTTCCTGCCTTCTGCTCTGCGACTGGCATACTACACAACTCTGAACATAGTGACCTCTCCGTACAGTTTGGGCCAATAGTACTTTCTCCCTATTAGGTCATATGTTCTATCAATTCCCATGTGACCCAACCTCTCGTGGCACTGTTCCAGTATCTCTGGTCTTAAACTTTTGGGCACATACAACCCCTACCCCTTCTTCATCTCTACCTGAGAGATAATACTCCTTTCTCTATTATTGCATACTTGGTGGTCTCTCCTGCCTCCACCTTTTTCTCTAGGGGCAGCTATTTCACTGTCTGCCTGCTCTTTCTCAATTCCTTCTGTCCAGTAGGGATCGGTTATTATCTGT